ACCAATATTTCATTATACTGCCATCATTTACAGATTATGGGTTAAAGTGCAGCAAAAACAACTTCAATAGATGCCATCAAAAAACTAACCATATATGCAGTTTCTCCTAAAGAAGAACACAAATGTTTAATTATTAACAATTTAACTCACAAATGCAAAGTGAAATAACAAAGCAAATGTTAAAAATACAAAAGGCTGGATACTAAACCGTTATGGAGATATAAAAGATGAGACAAACAAGCACTTTATAGACTTTTTTACCTTTAGATACTTTGTTACTGCGGCAAGCTCAGAACATTTTCAAGTCAAGCCATCTGGCAATAAATCTGACATTTCTGGGAAGGAAAAATTAAGTTTTTCCTTCGTCTTTAACATACAAGCAAATCCTGTGCCCAAGAATGCACAAAGTACAGTAAACCTTCCTTAACAGAATCAATAACCATTCCACGTGAATACTCTGTTTATACTATAACCAAGATATAACTTTTTTGCTTCCCCCAGCAACTGTACCAAATGTATTGGTGTAGCACATCCTACCTCATTCTCCATGAAACTTCATATGTCGCTGGACACGTTCAGGAGACAACAGATCTACCACATCTGCATGTTATCACCATACCACTGTATGGCAAGTAGCATTCCCCCAAACTGAAGAAAATCAGGGCTTCTTTCCCCTCCACATTAGGAAAGCACCTGATAGTTGTTGATCAGCCCCATGGCAGATAAGCCGGAAACAAGAGCAACCGCCACTTCCTGCAATGACATACGTGGCTCACTTCCGCCCGCCATCCTACTGCAAAGGAACTTATTATTTAAACGCCTTCAAAACACATCTGAAAACCCAGTAACGGAACAATAACAGAAACGTGCTCCACCTTAATGGTATACATCAAGCAGACATCACAAATTAGTCATGCAAATAATTACCCAACCATAATGCATTACAGTTGCTTTCTCCAGAAAAGGTACTTCTGTCCTCCAAAACTCATTCATTAAATATAATGCAAGAAGGCAAAAGTTTAAAAATAAATATCGGGCATTTCAAAAAAAGAAAGCAGAGGTTGAAGTGAGCTAGGAGAGCATCAGATGCCCTACTGTTATAGCACACTGGGCTTTGAATCACTATAAAAGTGTGCATTTGCCTGTGGTCTAATGACAGAATCTCAAACTCTTATGTCACAAAACTCCTGACAATCTGAATCATACCGGTTACCTGGGATTTCAGGGACCATCTGTTTCCATGAAAGCATTAATTCTGCTTTGAAGTGCAGAGCCTCAGAGCTTCCAAGTCTGCTCAATGACACACAGTTCTCTTAACTAGACAAGCACCATGCAGCCCAATA